AGCAATCGCACAAACCGTCGCCATGTTTGCTTCTTCGTCACTCGCGGCGCGGTCAACTCGTCGCGAGATGTTTTCTGGCTCGGCTAGATGGAAACCAACAGCGGCAAAGTGGCGTATGGACACACGGCTCTCACATTACGAGCACTATACTCACATACCGCGGTAAACAGGACCGATGCCGGCGAAACTGCAGTCGGCACACCAGCGAAGAAGCCTTCAACGGGAAGCGGCGGTGCAGGCCGACGCAGCCCCCCCTCCCCGTGAGCGTCTGGGTTCGAGATTATTGTTCGCTTTTGCTCCTTGCGGTCGAGGCTAAAAAGAGCACTTCCGGACAAAGGTCTATAGAGCGTCGGGTTTTCCCCGACGTGACGCCGCTGTGACGCGCTCGCACGCGCGAACGCGTTACGTCGGAGTATAACAGAGCCTTAAGGCTGCCCCGGCGGACTCACAACCCAAACTACGGTGCACAGACACCAAACCCAGTTGTTCTGACCGTCTGACGATTTCCTTTTTGAAGTCTAATGGCGCGTTCACACTGGAAGCGGATCCGCGTTCGCGAAGCGGATCCGCGCGTTCTCAACCGCAAAGCGGCTAGGATCGAGCGGTTGGAGCGCGTTTTTGCCAACCGCTTCGGGACCGATTTCTTCCAACCGCTTTCACGAACCGCAAAGCGGCAACCAATCACAACGCGACGCTGACGTGACGTCAGTGACTTTCGAAACAAGATGGCACCCGTCGCTGGTGAGGCGTCCAAGGCGCTGTAGTCCTAGCGCTGTAGTCTTAGCTTTCGACAAATCAACGGAGAAACTTGATGTTCACGTCCGTCACTTGAATCCGCCGCGCAAAGAATTGACTCGTAATTTTAACGGGCTTCGCACCGGTAATTTGGTTCGGATAAGAGTTTGTTTATTATTGCGGGTGCCACAGCCGAAAATCGCTGCCTTGTTAATCTCTGCCTGTAGAACGTCGGAACCCGCCCCTGATCGACCGAAATGTCAGCTTTTTTACCCACTAGGATAGTCGCGTGAACTATTGAAAGCTTTCGACACCGTGCATGACAACCAGGAAGGCCGATAGGGACGTCGTGAGCTTGATTGCGTAGCCAACGCACTACCGTACCTGGGTACCTGCGCTAGCTCGATCTGTAACGTTTACTACTAATAAAATTAATAAAGGGAACCTACTCAAGGCATAAAGTGTACGTACCAGACAATTCAGATGTAATCCATACGGCGTTTATTTGAGCTTAATGTCAAACAAAGAGTAGACTCGATCGACGAGCGAGTGACGAGAGGAGAGTCCGCCACCAACGAAGTCACGACCGGCTAGTGTGTAAAAGCGCTGTGACAAAAATAAACTGATTCTGATTCTGATTCTGAACACAATCCCGCACCACGGTCCACCCCACCGCTGACAACTTCGAAAATGATAAAAGCGAACAACGCGGGGGGAAAACTGGCCCTCTGTCCTGAAAACAAGGTCAGCTATTCATGCGGGAAGGGTCCACTTCGAAGAAAAAGTCGGGGGCGTCCTGTTCTGAGTCAGCAAGGCGCGCCTAGCTGGGCTTTGCTTGTGGGCGAAGTCGAGGGAATCACAGGCGAGTTTGGCGGGTCCATGCTTCTTTTTTCGCTGCCTGAACTTGTGATGCGCGCGAACATCCCGGAGAAAAATATTCCGAGTGCCAAAATAGCAAAACTTTGGCTTTGGATCTTGAATTAAAGTGGATTTTGGATTGTAAAACAGGGTTGCCAAACGCAAGCCTCAAAAGATCACGCGTGATCGCCGAGAAACCGCCAACCGCCTCTCGGTGGGTCTGAACGGGGTCGCTCGCCAACCGCATCCGCGACCGCTTCGCGAACGCGGATCCGCTTCCAGTGTGAATGCGCCATAAGAGGTCTTCGGACACATAAAAAAGACCGCTTCGTCCGATTCCCCGACTCACCGATTATCCTTAGTGCTACATGCGTCGAGCGCCGCCATGTTTTCCGATGGAGAATAAAAAATTCAGGAGGCGACATCACACCGGACTGAGATTTTCGGTATTTCAAAAAGAAGGGCCGAAGTGTGTTCGCCATTCCGCTAAAAAAACATGTTTTACGAATGTCAATATTAAATGGTAGAGAAATGTCGCCTTTAAAGCTTCTAAATTTCATGATATTTGACGTCGCAAATAAAAAAAAGCGAGGAGGTGAGGAGCGGGAGAGAAAAACGCCAAAAAATAAACGCGCAAACGCGTAATTTTTTTTTTTTTTTTGCGTTGCGGTGTTTTGTTGTCTGGGTATGACTACAACTTGCATCGTCTTAGACAATAAAAAAATGAAAGCCGTTTACAACTCACTGTAACGCCGAATTAGAGCGCAGCTCTTGAGGAGGAGGAGGGAAGGGTACTGGGGATGTGGGTCAAGTGACCTCGGGGGGCGGGGGGGGGGTCACGTGACCTTGTGGGAGTCACGTGACGTCGGGGGGTCACGTGACCTGGGGCCACGTGACGATGCCGATGACGCCATCAGTGACGTCACTGATGACGCCATCAGTGATGATGATGATGACGATGCGGACGCCGGTGACGTCATCAGTGACGTCACTGATGACGTCATCAGTGATGATGACGATGCGGATGCCGGTGACGTCAACGGGGTCACGTGACCTCGGGGGGTATCCCCAGGTCACGTGACGCCGGGGGGGTCACGTGACCTGGGTAACCATCGTGACCCTCGTGAGGGTAGCCCTAGTTACCCTTGTGGGGGCAACTCTCGTGACCCTCGTGAGGGTAACTCTCGTGACCCTCGTGAGGGTAACTCTCGTGACCCTCGTGAGGGTAACTCTCGTGACCCTTGTGAGGGTAACTCTCATAACCCTCGTGAGGGTAACCCTCGTGAAGGTAACCCTTTTGAGGGTAACTAACCCTCGTAACCCTCGTGAGGGTTACGAAGGTAAGTAACCCTCGTGAGGGCAACCCTCGTGAAGGTAACCCTTTTGAAAGTAACTAACCCTCGTAACCCTCGTGAGGGTTACGAGGGTAAGTAACCCTCGTGGCCCTCGTGATCCTCGTGAGGGTAACCCTCATGAGATTAACCCTCGTAACCCTCGTAACCCTCACGAGGGTTACGAGGGTTGCGGTTACGCCGACGCCGACGGCGACGCCGACGCCGCTCAAGCCGGGAACGGGCGCCTAAGAGCTGCGCTCTTATGAATCCCTGTAACGCCGAAATGGAGCGCAGCTCTTGAGGAGGAGTAGGGAAGGGTACTGAGGGGGGTCACGTCACCTGCGGGTAGTCACGTGACCCCGGCGGGGTCACGTGATCTCGGGGGAGGGGGTCACGTGACCTTGGGGGTCAGGTGACCTCGGGGGGTCACGTGACCTGGGAGGGGTCAGGTGACCTCGGGGGGGGGGTCACGTGACCCCCCCCCCGGTTACGCCGACGGCGACGCCGACGCCACTCAGGCTGGAAACGGGCCCCTAAGAGCTGCGCTCTAAAAAAAATACGACCTTTGGGGTGTCAGTGCCCCTTTAAAGGGATACTACAACGAAATTTCGGCGCTCATTTTGTGGTTTATATGTGTTCAAAAGAGCAGTATCACATGGAACATACCAATATCTTGTTAAAAAAGTCTCGAAAAGGAATTTTAAAACGAATTAAACGATTAACAAAGAGCACCTGGTGGATGTCGCTAACGCCTCGTTTGTAATGCTCGTCTAGGAACCTTGACAGCTAGTGACGGAGGTTGTCTCGTCTCCGGCCACGACGAGAGAAGGGGGGAAGGAGGAACTCCCTTCTTCCCGAGAATTCCTTTTGTTTGTCGCAGAAGTCGCTAGAAGATTATAGAAGATTAACCCGTCACTCAAAATTCGTACAAAAGCAGCCGCTTCGGTGGCTGGAACGACAAGGCCATCCTCTCGACGTCAGCCTCGCCGTGGCTTTGCTCGTCTTGAGACGACCTACGTCACGATTGCGTTGGATGTCACGTGCTTTAAGCTGGGCCTTCTCCGAGCGCTTGCCAGAGTGAGCCGTTTATAACGAAAAATACAGCCACCACGATCAAAATACAAACGTGCGATTGTCATTTACGGGTATTGTGGATCATATTCAACCTATTTTTGAACACGACGGGAATATTTCAAATTTCGTTGAAGTATCCCTTTAAGGCCTACCCAAACAGGACACTTCAGAAATCGTGAGGCGATATTACTCCGTCCAAAATGATGGAATTTGAAACGTCCGGCAGTCCGATGTCTGTTTGAACACTACCAAACAAACATGACGATTTTCCTGCTCGCTCGCTTCCTTCGCATTTCGGAGACCTCGGTGCTCGTCAGACTCGACGTCACATGCCACCTGCGAATGCTGTCCATCTGTTCTGCCGGGCCCTCGTACCCTGGACCGTGTTCCAAATATACTCGATCTTACTCCAGGGTAAGGTTTTTGTGCCTTTGCGTTCGAAAACCTACCCGCGTCCAGCGTCACTGTGGAGGACACGGGCGAAATTTGACGGAGAGAAATTTGACCGACCGCCGCGCGACTTATGTCGGAGTCGTGCCGCCTCACGATTTTTGAAATAACCTGTTTGGAAGGGCTTTTACGGCTGCTCAGTAGCCGCCCGGTCAGGCCAAAAGCAGACAACCTTTTCGATTCATAAACGGCACGCGCTTTTTCGGTGCTATAATGGTTGCGTTTTTTTTTTTTTTTTCAATTAAACAGTCTAAATGGACACACACAAAAAAAAACACGATTGTTTGTCTATTAATTTCAGCTGCATATCTGCTCTTGGCGTGACCGGGGGATTGCTCAGCTGCCGGAAGCCGCCGGGGCCGCTGCCGCCATCTGTCGGGTATTGAGTCAGTCAGAGTTCGCGAATAATAAATGAAACACGGAAAAAAAAATAATTCATATATATATATTTTTTTTTTTTTAATGTTGATGCTATCTGCTTTTATTTTTTTCGGCTCTTCCGTAGTAAATCGTAGCGCTATACGTTACCAAGATGATGTCCAACGTTACCATTTCTAGGGGCGCCAAGCCCGTGACGCTATGGAGCAGCGCCAGCGCCAGGCTGCCCGTAGGGAAGATGAGCGACGTGGACGCTGCCACGGACATCGGTAGCACCAGAAGCAGTGGGTGGCACTGGATGCTGATGGCCTGCGCGCACATGGGGGGAGACTGCTTTTCTGGAAGCCCTCTGGTCGCTGTACCCAACGTGCAAGACTCTTTACAACAGCGTTTGACCTGCTTTCTGTCTCTGGCAACTTCTTTTGCATGTGTTCCCCAAACTTAAAGGGCCCATGAAACGATTTTTGGGTTGGGATAAATAATTTTAGATTGGGATTTTACTAATAGCACATCGTTCAGTGGACCAAAAGAAAAAAGGTAGGAAGTCAAAAGCCTGACTTTCAGTGCGAAAATTTGAAAACAGAGCGGACTATTTCGTACCTCCTCCCCTTCGCAACCTCTCTGCCTTTTCACTGTGATACATCCGCGGTCCCAAAAGCGCGTCATCGGGTCCAAACTGACGTCACACGCAACCGGAACCCCTAAGCTGAGATTGTGGTGGAAGCTACGCGCTTGCCGGACCAATCAGCCGCCTCCCTTTCATCACCTGACTTCATTCTCTGCAGCCACATTTGCCACGCTCACGTGGCAAGTGTGGCTGACCCAACGAGCACGTAGCTTCAACAGCACTGTCAGCTTCGGAATGAACGGGGTGGGGAAAGCAACTTTTGTCTGAATTTTGAGCGACGGGCTAATCTTCTAGGGGGAGAATGGATGTGTCCGGATTACACAAACGAGAGTGCGAGCAAGAGGGGACTCCCCCTCTTGCTCGCGATTTATGAGTTGAGGAGGAAAGCTAAACAGGAAAAAGTTGGAAAAGCGTTTCATGACCCCTTTAACAGCTGGACGTGGGTATATCGCGGAGCAGGCGTCGCGAGATTTCGGTTGCACGCCGAAAGGTCCCGAGACGCTCCAAATAGACCTTTCCGGAAAATCCCAGGAGACCTTGCAACGCGGGAATTGTGCGGTGCTCGGATGTACGCTCGTGCCGGCTTGAACGCTTCGTATATCCTGGTTGCGGCACAATTCGTTCTTCCTTATCGTTAGAGCTCAGAATACACAAAAATAAATGCGTAAAGCAGACGCTGGGGCCACCATATAGACCTTTTCCACAAGGGCGCCGCCATCTTGAAATGTCGTCACTTCCAGTATGGGCGAAAACATTGTTTTGCCGTCGCCATGCCAATAGAAGGCATTTAGGACATAAGCCTAACCGTCACACATTTTCGTTTTGGCTCCCTTCTATTTTTTTGCTAGTTACGTTTTGAAACGTTTTAATATTTTGTCATCGCCCATACTGGAAGTGACGACAATTCAAGATGGCGGCGCCCCAGTGGAAAATGTCTATAGTCTTCCGCTGTAGAGTGCCAGATGTCCTTCGATATAAAAACGGCGACAATTGTCCCTCGACTTCCTTGCGCTGTTTACCTTTCGCTATGCTTCACCAACTAGCGCAACTTCACACTCTTCTACAGATGCCCTTCCTTGGTTTGACACGTACAGCCCTAAAATTTACTTTCTTCGTTGCGGTGGCGGATTATTTTTGAAAACTAGTAGATCAAAATTTGAGCAACCGAGTTGCAGAGTTAAATTTGGGAAGTACTATACGTTTTATATGAAGTATGAACCAGCTGAGTTATTTTACCGTTGATTTTTTTTTTTTTTTAGAGCGCAGCTTTTAGGCGCCCTTTTCCGGCTTGAGCGGTGTCGCCGTCGGCGTAACCGTGCGTTGCATTATGGGACGTTTCCCATTATGACGTCACACGTGACATCACGTGTGACGTTACGAGGGTCACCAGTGACGTCACTCGTGACGTCACCGCGCGGTGCATTATGGGTAAATTTTCCCGCTAAATTTAGCAGAAACATTTCCCCGCTAAACTTCTCAAAAAATGTTTCCCGCTAAACTTAGCGGAAAAAATTCCCCGATATATATAGCTGGAAATTTTCCCCGCTAAATTTGGCGAAAAAATAGTTTCCGCAAAATTTAGCAAAAACATTTCCCCGCTAAATTTATCAGCAAAAATTCCCCGCTAAATTTAGCGATAAATTTCCCCGCTAAATTTAGCGGTAAATTTCCCCGCTAAATTTAGCGGAAAATTTTACCCGCTAAATTTAGCTGGCCAAATTCCCCGTTTTTTTTTTTTTATTATTAACACGCACACCACGAACCGAGGCTCTGTTCTGTTTATACCATACATGGATAAATGACTTCCAAAATGTAATTTAATTACAACTACAATTACTTGGCTTCAAAAGTAGTTTCACCACAATTACAATTACTACTACGTGAAAAGTAATTGAATACAGTTACAAATTACTTTTAAAAAGTAATGCAATTACTTTACAATTACTTATTTTTGAGAGCGACCCGACTTGGGCCATATAACTTTGTTCATGCCCTGCCCCAATGTTTGAGGAGGCTTAAGCATCGCTGCATAAATGTCACGTATTGTACTTTCCTTTTATTAAGCTTTTTAAATTCATGATAGAAATTGAGAGTTTGGGGCAATGAAGTACTACGTTCTTATATTTTTAATAAATAAGAAATTAGTTCAAATGCTGGAAGACACCAAATCACTAAAGAAAACATTGGGTTGACAAACAAAGAAAAAATGTGGCAACTAGTCGTATATGAATATTTTATTAAGGTTAATATAAAACTAAAATACACACGCACTAATACGATCCCATTCACATGCAAACATCATGGTATTGTAAATTATATACACGGAGTTGAAATTTTAATGGCTCAGAAATATATAGAAACCGAATCATTGGTGTCAATATTCACAGGTGTGGTCAGTCTCCAAAATGCTTATGCAAATAATATCGAAAGAGGGACGCGAAAACTGACAAAAAAAAAAAAAGACAAATAACTTCATACACAATTAAAATTCCCAACCTCGGCTGAAAGCTGAATCTCAATTTTTTTTTTTTTTTTTTTCTTTTCAATATTTTGGCATGAGTACGATATTGTTTTCTGTTCGCACCGTAGACGGCGCTACATGGCGCCGTTGAGGTAGGCCCCAAAAAGGATTCTCTCTCAGCCCGCAGTGTCAGCAAGAAAAAAACAAACGACGCGACACTACTTTTGTTGTGCGTGTATGTGAGTGCGTGTCTAGGTGCGAGTGTTTCACCGAGAGCCACCCCGCTTGTGCGAGCACTGAGGCTTTCCGAGAGGTTCCGTCGGTAATTGTAATTGTTCCTGAAATTTTTGCAATTACTGACGCTAGAAAGCAATTAAATTGCAATTCCTTTTAGCCGGAAGTAAATAATTACAATTACAGATTACCAAAAAAGTAATTAAATTACAGTAATTAAATTACTGTAATTGAATTACTACTCAAGTATGCTCGCTGGGGTGCGCATGGACGCGTCCTAATCCGATTACGAAGCTTTGCTAAGGCGTCATAATCGGGTTATGGCCGCAATCAAGGACACCCCATTGGGCAAGATGGTGGCGTCCTGAGACCGCACTTGCAAACGTGTATGTTCCGTTTCACGATAAATTGGCGAACTGTGGAGGCTGCGACCCCCGCGACCCAATGAGGGCGGCAAAGCAAGGCACGTGACAGCACTCCATGGTCGAGGACCCGGAGGCCTCGTGACCACCACAGCACCAGCGCCGTCCGCGACAAAAAATAGTTCCTGGCATATTTTAATTTTAAGGGCAATTAAAGTCGCACGATTGACTCTCTATCGGCAAGGAGTGCTTTAAAGTACTTGTAAGTCAATGTTGCAACGATATCGTTGCGTCACTGGAAAGATCAAATGAAAATCCCGTCATCCAGAATGTACCGCATCATTTGTCACTTGCGCAATGGACTGCAACAATTTCTGGTCGATTTGTTGTTCTTGACGCAGAAAATAATGAAGAGAACCACACTCACAAAGGCCGACAAACGCAGAGTTACCATATCGCCTATACTCCGCACCTCGCCGCAACCGCCGGCACTGTACGATGGTAACGGCACGACCACACGGCGTACATTTGGAACCCATAGCCCCGTCGCTTTCTCGCGCGTGCGCAGACGTTTGCCGAGTATTTTGCCGAAACATTACCGAACCTTCCTTCAAAAGTATGGCATAGGCCGAACTTTGCCGAATGCGAGTTTCGGCAGATTCGATGCATCGCTCTTCAGTGGCTCTAGATGTAATGACGTCTCGCGCAGGCCATGACCGGCAGCTCACCACATCAAGCGCGACCGGCAAGAGGATGGATGCCGTGGCCACGTCAGTCATCAGCTCCGTCATCAGGGCCGAGCAGACGGCCAGAATCACCTGAGAGAGCGGCACGCTGTTCAGGTGGCCGCTACCGATTCGGTTGGAGATCCACACAGCGAGCCCGCACTCCTGAAAAGTGGACAACCCACGCATTACGTCGGCTTTAGTAGATCCCGACCCTCCCCGAGCGGCAAACGCACTTTGCAACACGCTGCATGCGCGTCAACGCATGCGCGTCGCCGCTCGCGGAGCCTGTCGGGAGATGGCGCCAGAAGTATATTCATCGCTAACTCGGCCGTCTACGACCACGTCCAAGGTTGATTTCGGCAAGTTTGTTGGTTTCATTTTCTTGCAGCAAGAAAACTACACCTTAAAATTTCGCAAGGTAAAACTGACCACCGAAATGCACATTCGGTGAAAGTTTGAACTTTATATATGTGCAAGCGCCGATTTTTCCGACTCGTTTTACAGCGTACGATCTGCATTTCATCCCCTTTTCGTTTTGAGCGGGACCGGCCGCACCTTGGCGATGATGCCCATGATGTGGCTGGAGAATACGACGATCAGGGCCCCCCAGGGCAGTTGCTTTGCTACCTTGCGGAAGTCGAGTAGCTTGCCGTCGAGCAAGAGCTGCCAGGGGATGACGAACACCAGGAGCACCAGCAGGTAGTCAAGGGCCAGGGGTTCCTGATATCTGCTCCGGAGGAAGACATAATTCAAGGGGTCACGTGACCTCGCTTCATGCGACGCGTGTACACAAGTCCTAGGGCTCCAGCCTCCTGGTATCCGCTCAAGATGGGGACAAGTCTCAAGGAGTTACGTGACGCTGCCTGACACGTTTACACAAGTTCTAGGGCTCCTGGTATGCGCCCCAGAGGGGACAAGCCTCGAGGGGTCATGTGACGCCGCCTGAAGGCTTAAAACCTCTTAAATTTTCTGACGACGAGAGAACCCAGAGGCGCCACTATTGGATGGCCATGGAACACGTCATTTCTGTATATTTCCTTTTTCTGGAAATACTTTTGGCAATGTTATAATTTTTAAACTATACAATTTCTCATTGATAGCACGGATACATTTGATCTCTCAAATACCGCGAAACCTTCGCTCTATGAAAAGGCAGTTTCAGAGTCACTACAAAGATGTTGACAGCGTACCAGTGCGTTCTCTCGTATAAAAAATCACAAGAACTCGATCATAGACAAACTTAAGTCCGAACGGTGGTGGTTCGTAAAGCAGTTTAGGTTTTGCCATATCAATGGCAGAAATGTAATTGTATCGGCACCGTCACTTTTGCAAGTCAACGGCACGCGAGGAATTGTTCAACGTGAGTTCTTTCTCGATCACTTTCAGTTCGATGGTGACCAAGAACTTGGATTCAGAGCAAAGCTCCAAATCACTCAGGTGCCTCGGGAAAATTGTATACACCAAAATGCTTTTAAGCCTACTGTGTGCCGCCCGCACATTGACTGAATCTGAGTTATTAGAAATAAATGCTTACGTAGCTCTAGTGTTTCATTCCTACGTCGCGTCGTACTGACCCCCTGAATGTACAGGCCTCGCATCATCCGCTTAGAAGCATCTTCAATGTCTTCCTTTATGAGTCGCTAGAAGGCCGCCATTGGTATGGCACAGATGCCTTTCCACGGATGATGATAGCGATCAAAGTGGCCAGACTCCATTTCGGAAAGGGTCTATTGCGCGACATAGTGCCATCACGACATCGCTACTTTTTGGCTCACTATTCAAAAGGCATTTATCGCTTAGGTTGGTGTTACCGGTCATTTCCACGCTATACTCAAGAATCGTATTTAAAAAAAAAAAAAAAATACAAAGAAAAAAAGAAAGAAGTTCCGTTCCTCGCAGAGCGTTTCAAATTTCCTCTTTGTGGGAAAGGAAAAAAGGCTGCTAATGCGCATTTAAAAAAAGCGGTTTTTTTTTTTTTTTCTTCTTTATTATTGAGCAGTGTAGGTTTCTGCCGGCTCATGCGTCAATCCTCCATGAAAGCTTTCCGAGTGTGACGTAATTTAAAAATTCAGTGATGTGTCTTCTTTCAACTTTTTTTAAAAGAAAAATTTGCACTCGAGTGTTTAGAAAACAAGTTTTCTTTTCTTTACTGAAAGCTATAGAGAATTCTCACATTCTTTAGAAAATCTTTGTTCTCGTCAGTATTTTTTTCGTGCTCGCCCTAAGTCAAGCCTCTGTGTACTCCGAAAAGAGAAGTTTGAGCGGCTAAGAACCACGTGCCGCAAGGCAGGCCTGCATGAACGTCATATCAGCTGCCATAGCGGTGTCCTTGCGGCAGATTGCGTGCGTTCTGCACAGGCGTGTCGCACTACCGCTTTTTTTTTTCTCCTCGGATAGAACAAGAAGGGCGATACGATAACTTCACATGTAAGCTACACATTGCACACCTGATCCCCGACAGGTCATGAGTGGAACTCACTCTAGGCTGCTGGTATCCTCTTGTGACTCGCATACGTTGGAGTAGTTTGCAACGACCCAGACGAGGAACAGTACGGCGGGCACCAATTCCGCGTATCTGCAATTGGGCGAGGAATACAACATAAATACTAAAGCACCGAATAATATGCAGGGTGTTTCTTTCTAAGCTTAACATATTTATTGAAAAAAAAAGTCGTGAAAGCTACGCTAATGCGGTTAGTGCAGGTGGGTTTTACGGCCAGGGGGCACTTAGTATAGGGGGCTAATCGTAGCGGTCAATCTGCTAATTAACTAAGATATGGTAATTTACTTTCTAAGTATCGAAAATAAACATTATGTTCTAGTTAGAAACTTTCTGAGCTTCATCGAAAACTGCAGCAGGAGCAAGGCTACTGTGCAATAACGCGCGCCGCGCGGTTTTCCCTTCTGTTATCCGCCTTTTCTCACCTCAGCCTTTGTGCCTGTTAGACTTAGCGCAGTGTGCGCTAAAGTTACCACCGCGCTCAGGCTTTCTAAGCATTACTGATTTAGTAATATTTTGATGCGCCCAGCAAGTTTCTAATTAGAACCATATGTCCATTTTCAATCATTAAAAGGTCCATTAATAACTTTTAGTTTCTTATTCGACTTATCGGGACGATTAGGCCCCTATATCATTTGCCCCCCTGGCCGTATAACTCACCTGCACAAACCGCATTAGTGCAGCTTTTACGGTTTTTAACCAGCAAATATGTTAATCTTGAAAAGATATTCCTTTGTATTGTACACTTTGTTCTTTGTTGTTGAAATATGCAACAAAAAGAGGAAATGACAGAAAAAAAGTAAAGGTCGTATGCTCATGCCTATCGGCTGTTATTATATGATCAGCCGAAGCTAATTGTCTACCTTCAAACACGTAATTCACAAACGAGTCAGCGTTTACTTACACCAGGTCACTACACGTGCGCAGAAACCAAATTGCCATGAGGTGAAGCGTCTGCGCATGTGCCGACGCACCTACAGGACGCACTCGCAGGGAAAACACAAAGAAATCGCCGAAAACAGAATGCTGCCGTATCATCTATATATATGGTTATTTATTTTATTTATTTATTTATCAATACTGCCAGCCCAATATAGGGCCAAGGCAGGAGTGGGGTGATACAGTGTCACACATGCACATTATAAACACAACAGTTCTAAACAAAAAGCAATCTTAGCACCGAAAATTAATATCTACGACATATTCGAAAGAAGAGAAACAATACAGTAACCAAATGTAGTACTAGTAATAACAATAACAGTATAGCAGTAAATGTAACAGCAGTAATAAAAAGCAGCAACAGCAGTAAAAAAAAATAAAAAATGTGTTTAGCATCATATCTCGACCGTACATCAAAAGTGGTCGCGAAGTGGCAACAAGAGACGTCACAGAAGCCAGAGTGTCCTGCTGTCGAATGTCGCGATCCTGGCGGTTGGTCGTAAAAGTGCGGCCGAAAGTTACGAGCGAACGCGAGTGTCGCTGTCGTCGCGGCGTCCCAACTTCTAGCTGCCGAAGCTTCCCTGTAGACTGTCACACTGGAGAGACTTGCAGCAGAATAGGCGTCTGCCACATCCACCACTGCTGCTGGAACACCGCCAGGATCGCGACCGACGACCCATTCATGACGTCATCAGGCGGAAATCGAGGGACCACTTTTTCGACGCGGTAAACACAGGTGTGTTTACCGCGCTCGAAAAAGTGGTCCCTCAATCACTTTTTCGAGTGGTAAACACACCTTTGTTTACCGCGTCGAAAAAGTGGTCCCTCGATTTCCGCCTGATGACGTCACACACCACAGTCAACTCCAAGAGCGCATGCAGGTCGCGTGCAGGAAGCCGCTCTTTCACGCGCTTCAGAAAAAAAGAAAAAATAAGCGTTCATAACAAAACGTGCTGAGAGCTTGCGCACTAGCTCCCTTCAGTCAACAACACATATATGCTTCGTTTTAGCTTAAGCGTATGCCCAGCCGACGCTACGAGCTAGGGGAACCAATCGAGCAGCGTGAAAAGCGCAAGTCACTGGGCCTTTTCAGTTTATGATTGGTTCAGCGACGATAGAACAGGTACAGGAATATGACGAACACCATGATGGCACGCTTTTGACGCTGTCTGAATGTTCCCATCAGCTCATATCGTCGCTTTTGACGCTATCTGATTGTTCCCATCACCTAGAGTGCCTTCATGTGCGCTTCGCATAGAGTGATGCCAACTGCCTGTTTCCCTTTCCCACACCCTCTTCCACCGCCATTTTGTTCCTCTCATTGTTTCCCCGTGCGCCGGAAAGTGGCCTTTGTGTCCATCGGTAATCCCATCCGAGGGGGAAAATGCTAATCCTCCCTCCGTGGGTTCCACAACGCTGCAACGAACTTCTGAGATAAGGTGCTTGTTTCCGGGAGGGTTATAAGCCCCACGGATTATCGCCGAGGAACAAAATGGCTGCTGGTTTGTCGGCGAGTGGTATTACAAAGGGTGGCATCACCCTAGCAAAGCGCACGCAGCCCGAGCGACGTCGCGACTGAAGATTGCGAGCGTAATCTCATCATGTGAATCAGGCTTTGGCGTCTATTCTGCCGCGTCCACGCGGAATGAATTGCCGCATGTCACATTATTCACGCGAAGTTTTGCGGTGTAACGAGCCTAGGTAATTGCGCTGAGGCCGCTCAAGTGGTCAGACATCGCCAGGAAAACGTAGAATCAACAATTCCAATGCGAAAAGGAGCACGGGGACTCACACCGACACCGACAACATCGCATTTCAATGGTTAGTTTATTGGCAACGGCGAGCTTCAATTGGGCAGAGAGTTGGGCGAGTTGGTTAAGCATCTTAATAGGTGGGAACAGCGCAGGAAAAACCGACGAAGGACGAGTAGAAGAAGTGCACAAACACAGCGCTGAATGTAGAAAACGTCTTGATGGGTTACGATAGGAGCACACAAAAAAGGGCCCGATGTACAAGAAATGAGGTTCAACACGGCAGAGAGTTGGGCGAGTTGGTTAAGCATCTTAATAGGTGGGAACAGCGCAGGAAAAACCGACGAAGGACGAGTAGAAGAAGTGCACAAACACAGCGCTGAATGTAGAAAACGTCTTGATGGGTTACGATAGGAGCACACAAAAAAGGGCCCGATGTACAAGAAATGAGGTTCAACACGGCAGAGAGTTGGGCGAGTTGGTTAAGCATCTTAATAGGTGGGAACAGCGCAGGAAAAACCGACGAAGGACGAGTAGAAGAAGTGCACAAACACAGCGCTGAATGTAGAAAACGTCTTGATGGGTTACGATAGGAGCACACAAAAAAGGGCCCGATGTACAAGAAATGAGGTTCAACACGGCAGAGAGTTGGGCGAGTTGGTTAAGCATCTTAATAGGTGGGAACAGCGCAGGAAAAACCGACGAAGGACGAGTAGAAGAAGTGCACAAACACAGCGCTGAATGTAGAAAACGTCTTGATGGGTTACGATAGGAGCACACAAAAAAGGGCCCGATGTACAAGAAATGAGGTTCAACACGGCAGAGAGTTGGGCGAGTTGGTTAAGCATCTTAATAGGTGGGAACAGCGCAGGAAAAACCGACGAAGGACGAGTAGAAGAAGTGCACAAACACAGCGCTGAATGTAGAAAACGTCTTGATGGGTTACGATAGGAGCACACAAAAAAGGGCCCGATGTACAAGAAATGAGGTTCAACACGGCAGAGAGTTGGGCGAGTTGGTTAAGCATCTTAATAGGTGGGAACAGCGCAGGAAAAACCGACGAAGGACGAGTAGAAGAAGTGCACAAACACAGCGCTGAATGTAGAAAACGTCTTGATGGGTTACGATAGGAGCACACAAAAAAGGGCCCGATGTACAAGAAATGAGGTTCAACACGGCAGAGAGTTGGGCGAGTTGGTTAAGCATCTTAATAGGTGGGAACAGCGCAGGAAAAACCGACGAAGGACGAGTAGAAGAAGTGCACAAACACAGCGCTGAATGTAGAAAACGTCTTGATGGGTTACGATAGGAGCACACAAAAAAGGGCCCGATGTACAAGAAATGAGGTTCAACACGGCAGAGAGTTGGGCGAGTTGGTTAAGCATCTTAATAGGTGGGAACAGCGAAGGAAAAACCGACGAAGGACGAGTAGAAGAAGTGCACAAACACAGCGCTGAATGTAGAAAACGTCTTGATGGGTTACGATAGGAGCACACAAAAAAGGGCCCGATGTACAAGAAATGAGGTTCAACACGGCAGAGAGTTGGGCGAGTTGGTTAAGCATCTTAATAGGTGGGAACAGCGCAGGAAAAACCGACGAAGGACGAGTAGAAGAAGTGCACAAACACAGCGCTGAATGTAGAAAACGTCTTGATGGGTTACGATAGGAGCACACAAAAAAGGGCCCGATGTACAAGAAATGAGGTTCAACACGGCAGAGAGTTGGGCGAGTTGGTTAAGCATCTTAATAGGTGGGAACAGCGCAGGAAAAACCGACGAAGGACGAGTAGAAGAAGTGCACAAACACAGCGCTGAATGTAGAAAACGTCTTGATGGGTTACGATAGGAGCACACAAAAAAGGGCCCGATGTACAAGAAATGAGGTTCAACACGGCAGAGAGTTGGGCGAGTTGGTTAAGCATCTTAATAGGTGGGAACAGCGAAGGAAAAACCGACGAAGGACGAGTAGAAGAAGTGCACAAACACAGCGCTGAATGTAGAAAACGTCTTGATGGGTTACGATAGGAGCACACAAAAAAGGGCCCGATGTACAAGAAATGAGGTTCAACACGGCAGAGAGTTGGGCGAGTTGGTTAAGCATCTTAATAGGTGGGAACAGCGCAGGAAAAACCGACGAAGGACGAGTAGAAGAAGTGCACAAACACAGCGCTGAATGTAGAAAACGTCTTGATGGGTTACGATAGGAGCACACAAAAAAGGGCCCGATGTACAAGAAATGAGGTTCAACACGGCAGAGAGTTGGGCGAGTTGGTTAAGCATCTTAATAGGTGGGAACAGCGCAGGAAAAACCGACGAAGGACGAGTAGAAGAAGTGCACAAACACAGCGCTGAATGTAGAAAACGTCTTGATGGGTTACGATAGGA